TCCCTACAGGGGCACCTGACCTCCATCACCCATCACTACAGTGACAGTCTCCCTACAGGGGCACCTGACCTCCATCTCCCATCACTACAGTGGTAGTCTCCCTACAGGGGCACCTGACCTCCATCCCCCATCACTACAGTGACAGTCTCCCTACAGGGGCACCTGACCTCCATCTCCCATCACTACAGTGGTAGTCTCCCTACAGGGGCACCTGACCTCCATCCCCCATCACTACTGTGACAGTCTCCCTACAGGGGCACCTGACCTCCATCCCCCATCACTACAGTGACAGTCTCCCTACAGGGGCACCTGACCTCCATCCCCCATCACTACAGTGGTAGTCTCCCTACAGGGGCACCTGACCTCCATCCCCCATCACTACAGTGACAGTCTCCCTACAGGGGCACCTGACCTCCATCCCCCATCACTACTGTGACAGTCTCCCTACAGGGGCACCTGACCTCCATCTCCCATCACTACAGTGGTAGTCTCCCTACAGGGGCACCTGACCTCCATCACCCATCACTACAGTGACAGTCTCCCTACAGGGGCACCTGACCTCCATCTCCCATCACTACAGTGGTAGTCTCCCTACAGGGGCACCTGACCTCCATCCCCCATCACTACAGTGACAGTCTCCCTACAGGGGCACCTGACCTCCATCTCCCATCACTACAGTGGTAGTCTCCCTACAGGGGCACCTGACCTCCATCCCCCATCACTACTGTGACAGTCTCCCTACAGGGGCACCTGACCTCCATCCCCCATCACTACAGTGACAGTCTCCCTACAGGGGCACCTGACCTCCATCCCCCATCGCTGAAGTGACAGTCTCCCTACAGGGACACCTGACCTCTATCACCCATCATGACAGTGAGAGTCTCCCTACAGGGGCACCTGACCTCCATCACCCATCACTACAGTGACAGTCTCCCTACAGGGACACCTGACCTCCATCCCTCATCACTTCAAGGGCACCTGACCTCCATCCCCCATGCCCCATTGGTGTATGTTCCATTGGTGTTCCATTCCGGTAATTGTTCTGTTCTATTGTAGAATATGCAGGTAGTGTTGTGGAATACACACTCAGTGTTGTGCCGCAGCACTTCAAGGGGTACACATGTCTTTTGAAGCCATTCCAGGAGACCCTCCAGGCTGTTTCGATCCCACAATCCGTTTTATTTGACCTGTCAAAATATTTGTCTTCCCAAAGGCCAATTAGTTTAGTTCTACAGCTTGTAATTACACTTGTGATGTTGCCAGTCTTTTTTCTGTGTTCCTGGAACGACCAAAGAGCCTGGTTAGTGAGAGCATTGAACAAGGATTGGTGAAATGTCAAAAAGATTTACAGAAATCTCATTTTTGAATCCATTCTGTTGGACTGGCACCGAAATTCCTACAACAGAGTCCAGGTCAAGATGACATCTCTGCTGGAAGTAGGGAGATGTTTCAAGAGATGAGATCTTGATTGCTTTGATTGTCCAATTGGCATCAGTGTACACCAAGCCCCTCGGTTTACTAGATTATCCATTTTACTTTCATTCTATCATTGTACATGTCTGTTTCTTTGTACCGTCAATTTGATGGGTCTGCTTTGGCAAATTTACCATCATAATATAGCTGGCAATTGCATGTTAGCCCAGTCAACAGTATCGATTGTTGAGATGCTTTCGAGAATTGTGTTTGTGATTCAACCAGTCAATAACTCTGTAATTCCTACTTGCATGAAGTTTACGAGTTCAGTCGATTTATAATCAAGTTACGGTTTGGTTTGTCTCATTCGAGAAAATTACTTGTGAGTTAATATGTTAAAACCAACACAGCTTATCTGAGCAACATGCAAAGTAAACAGAAATTATTTTTATTCTATAACAGTTTTATTGAGTGTTATCATTTAGATTCTGAAAATATTATCGAAATAGTGGAAATCAAAGTAGGTCTTTTTTGTAATATTGCACCGTTAGCTCGTCAGCTGTCATTGACGGTATCAATAACCTGCAGTTTCAATATTGACAATTTGCCTATGATTGACAAATTGATGTTCTGCTTACTCTATCAATGAGTTGAAAATTGCAGTAGGTCGTTTATTGTAATGCTGTTATTACTGTCAATCTCATTAAAATCAGATCTTAGTTCTCGCTACAGCTAAACAAAGATCTGAAGACATCCCATGGGATGTCCACAGATCTTTTTAAGTGGTAATGAGAACTAAGATCTGATTTTAAAGAGATTGTTGTTACTGTCCACAACACATGAGCTGTCATGGACGGTAGGGGTCACAGGTGGCCTGGTTGACACTGTAGTATGCTGTGCAGAGTTGTGTCCCTTAGGCATGCCAGAATCTAAGGATCATGCATTCAAATCCTGACTGCACTTTTTATACATCTGTTTGTCAGCGTCATCATAACTTATAGTATGACAAGTGGTAAACGTCTAAGACCTGCATTACTTCAGGTTTCCTCCCACACCAAGTTGACATGCCGTGATATAACAGAAATACTTCCACATCAATCTGACACACCATGATATAACAGAAATACTCCCACACCAAGTTGACATGCCGTGATATAACAGAAATACTCCCACACCAATCTGACACACCATGATATAGCAGAAATACTCCCACACCAAGTTGACATGCCATGATATAACAGAAATACTCCCACACCAATCTGACACACCATGATATAACAGAAATACTCCCACATCAATCTGACACACCATGATATAACAGAAATACTCCCACATCAATCTGACACACCATGATATAACAGAAATACTCCACATCAATCTGACACACCATGATATAACAGACATACTCCCACATCAATCTGACACACCATGATATAACAGAAATACTCCCACACCAATCTGACACACCATGATATAACAGAAATACTCCCACACCAATCTGACACACCATGATATAACAGAAATACTGCCACATCAATCTGACACACCATGATAAAACTGAAATACTCCCACACCAAGTTGACATGCCGTGATATAACAGAAATACTCCCACATCAATCTGACACACCATGATATAACAGAAATACTCCCACATCAATCTGACACACCATGATAAAACTGAAGTACTCCCACACCAAGTTGACATGCCGTGATATAACAGAAATACTCCCACATCAATCTGACACACCATGATATAACAGAAATACTCCCACATCAATCTGACACACCATGATATATAACAGAAATACTCCCACTTCAATCTGACACACCATGATATAACAGAAATACTCCCACAACCATCTGACACACCATGATATAACAGAAATACTGCCACATCAATCTGACACACCATGATATAACAGAAATACTCCCACACCAAGTTGACACACCATGATATAACAGAAATACTCCGACATCAATCTGACACACCGTGATATAACAGAAATACTCCCAAATCAATCTGACACACCATGATATAACAGAAATACTCCCAAATCAATCTGACACACCATGATATAACAGAAATACTCCCACATCAATCTGACACACCATGATAAAACTGAAGTACTGCTCAAGGCAGCGTCATACCCAACTCACTCACTCATCGATAGTATGTCAATAACCTGTCGTTTCTTTTTGTGCACTCAGCAATATTCCAGCTATATGAGGGCAGTCTGTAAATGAGTCCTGACCAGACAATCCAGTGATTGATATGAGCATCAATCCACGCAATTGGGATACGATGACATGCATCAACCAAGTCAGCGAGCCTGACCACCCGATCCCATTAGTCGCCTCATAAGACAAGCATAGTCGCCTTTATATTCTCCAATATCAACAATTATCCTGTGGTCGACAAATTTTGTTTGGGCTAATGGCAGTGTCTCGTGTAACAGTATGATTTGCTGTAAATATTTGAGGTGACTTTGAATAAATCTGGCTCGACCTTGGGGCCACATGACACCATTATTATAGTTTAGTGAATCAAATATTGGTGGGAGTGTCGGTGGTGGACAAAGATTTGGCAGGATGTGTAGCGCTTGAGGTAGGACGTTTACTTGGAGATTCATGTTTCTTGGGTGTTTAATGAGGTTTGCCTCATGTTTCCTACCTTAATGGTTATATACAGTTTCACGGATCATCTGTCATGTGATTTTAGACCTCAGTATTTCATGTTAGACAATGGTGCCAACACCAATAAACATGGGTTGTTTGCAACAGAGCTAGTGTTTTGACAGAATTGACCAATCTTTGCTCTTCTTTCAGTACACAATTTCGTCTGTTTTGCTTTTCACGTATGTCTCAAGGTCAGGTTTCTAGTTGTCCCAAACAAGTATTTGAAGACTGAATTTCGTTAAAGTGTATTTATTTGCCTGAAACAATAAACGTCAACATCAGAAAGGTGTAGATTGCTGTCGGCCATCCTTCAAGATCGTGACGTCACAGGTTACTAGAAGCCTGTGAATTAGGCGTTAAGTCAGGTGCAGTTAACACGTACGACTCCCTACGTATAGACAGTGGAGACACAGCCCTAAGATGGATACGAGTAGAAATAAGCCTGTCAGCAACACACATATTCTACTCAAAAAGACACCCGATTCTTTCATATCACTATAAATGATCTGAGTGAGTGAGTGAGTTGGGTTTAACGCCTCTTTTAACAGTATTCAAGTTATATCACGGCGTGTCAGCTTAATGTGGGAGGAAAGCCCGAAGTGATGCAGGTCTCAGACGTTTACCACTTCGGTGAAACCCACGAGCACGGGTATGGTGCTGACAAACCTAGAAACATAATCGGGGTGAACCGGGATTCGAACCCTTAATCATAGGTTTCTGGCGTGGCCAAGGGACGCACCTCTGCACAGCGAATCACGGCGCCTTAGACAACTGGGCCACCCGTGCCCCCATAGTGATCTGAATGTGCTATGACATGCAAGGACAGATTAACTATAGTAATGAAAAAATCATGTTTTCTTCATATCTCTTGAGTAGTATACAAGTATAGTTTTTTTAAAACTTTTTTTCAGGGAAGGGGAAGTTGGTGTGACGGGAAGCTGAAGTCTGAGAGAGCAGGTCAAAGGTCATGTCTTCCAAGAGCAGCAGCAGCACACTCGTGCAGTACCGGTGAGTTAAATCAACATCAGCACGCCAGCTGTTAGTCTGTGTGAGGCCATGATGTAGGTCATGGTTTAATGAGTTCACTTTGCTCAAGACCTGACACAAGTAAAATCTTCACGAATTTTGTTTTGCATCCTGCATCATGGTTTAATTCATCGTTAATGGTTTGGGTAGTTATGTGCTGTGGAGAGACAGTGTTAGGACTTTATGTGCTGTGGAGAAACAGTGTTAGGACTTTATGTGCTGTGGAGAAACAGTTTTAGGACTTTATTTGCTGTTGAGAAACTATTAGGACTTTATGTGCTGTTGAGTAAACAGTTTTAGGACTTTATGTGCTGTGGAGAAACAGTGTTAGGACTTTATGGACTGTGGAGAAAACAGTATTGGGGCTTGATGTGCTGTGGAGAAACAGTGTTGGGACTTTATGTGCTATGGAGAAACAGTGTTAGGACTTTATATGCTGTGGAGAAACAGTATTAGGACTTTATGTGCTGTGGAGAAACAGTGTTAGGACTTTATGGACTGTGGAGAAACAGTTTTCGGACTTTATGTGCTGTGGAGAAACAGTGTTAGGACTTTATGTGCTATGGAGAAACAGTGTTAGGACTTTATGTGCTATGGAGAAACAGTGTTGGGACTTTATGTGCTGTGGAGAAACAGTGTTAGGACTTTATGTGCTATGGAGAAACAGTGTTAGGACTTTATGTGCTATGGAGAAACAGTGTTAGGACTTGATGTGCTGTGGAGAAACAGTGTTAGGACTTGATGTGCTGTTGAGAAACAGTGTTAGGACTTGATGTGCTGTGGAGAAACAGTATTAGGACTTTATGTGCTATGGAGAAACAGTGTTAGGACTTTATGTGCTGTGGAGAAAAAGTGTTAGGACTTTATGTGCTGTGGAGAAACAGTGTTAAGACTTTATGTGCTGTGGAGAAACAGTGTTAGGACTTTATGTGCTGTGGAGAAACAGTGTTGGGACTTTATGTGCTGTGGAGAAATGGGTCTGGAAACTTTATTAGCTCAAGAAAAATAGTTCATTGATATTGTATGCCCGCTAAAATATTTCTGGGACATTACACATTCTCTCTAGAAATAGTTTTGTGATATTTTATACACTACAGAAACTGTTCTGAGACATTAACTACTCTGTAAATAAGTTTCTTGAACATTACATATTCTCTGTAGAAACACTTATGGGCATTATATATTCTCTGGAAACAGTTGTGAAGGTTAGATATTCACTGTAGAAACAGTTGTGAAGGTTATATATTCTCTGTAGAAACAGTTGAAAAGGTTATATATTCTCTGTAGAAACAGTTGTGAAGGTTACATATTCTCTGTAGAAACAGTTGTGAAGGTTATATATTCTCTGTAGAAACAGTTGTGAAGGTTACATATTCTCTGTAGAAACAGTTGTGAAGGTTACATATTCTCTGTAGAAACAGTTGTGAAGGTTATATATTCACTGTAGAAACAGTTGTAAAGGTTACATATTCTCTGTAGAAACAGTTGTGAAGGTTAGATATTCTCTGTAGAAACAGTTGTGAAGGTTATATATTCTCTGTAGAAACAGTTGTGAAGGTTAGATATTCTCTGTAGAAACAGTTGTGAAGGTTACATATTCTCTGTAGAAACAGTTGTGAAGGTTAGATATTCTCTGTAGAAACAGTTGTGAAGGTTATATATTCTCTGTAGAAACAGTTGTGAAGGTTATATATTCACTGTAAAAACAGTTGTGAAGGTTACATATTCTCTGTAGAAACAGTTGTGAAGGTTATATATTCTCTGTAGAAACAGTTGTGAAGGTTATATATTCACTGTAAAAACAGTTGTGAAGGTTATATATTCTCTGTAGAAACAGTTGTGAAGGTTATATATTCACTGTAGAAACAGTTGTGAAGGTTACATATTCTCTGTAGAAACAGTTGTGAAGGTTAGATATTCACTGTAGAAACAGTTGTAAAGGTTACATATTCTCTGTAGAAACAGTTGTGAAGGTTAGATATTCTCTGTAGAAACAGTTGTGAAGGTTATATATTCTCTGTAGAAACAGTTGTGAAGGTTACATATTCTCTGTAGAAACAGTTGTGAAGGTTACATATTCACTGTAGAAACAGTTGTGAAGGTTACATATTCTCTGTAGAAACAGTTGTGAAGGTTAGATATTCTCTGTAGAAACAGTTGTGAAGGTTACATATTCACTGTAGAAACAGTTGTGAAGGTTACATATTCTCTGTAGAAACAGTTGTGAAGGTTAGATATTCACTGTAGAAACAGTTGTAAAGGTTAGATATTCTCTGTAGAAACAGTTGTGAAGGTTATATATTCTCTGTAGAAACAGTTGTGAAGGTTACATATTCACTGTAGAAACAGTTGTGAAGGTTACATATTCTCTGTAGAAACAGTTGTGAAGGTTAGATATTCACTGTAGAAACAGTTGTGAAGGTTTTATATTCTCTGTAGAAACAGTTGTGAAGGTTATATATTCTCTGTAGAAACACTTATGGGCATTATATATTCTCTGTAGAAACAGTTGTGAAGGTTAGATATTCTCTGTAGAAACAGTTGTGAAGGTTAGATATTCTCTGTAGAAACAGTTGTGAAGGTTATATATTCACTGTAGAAACAGTTGTGAAGGTTACATATTCTCTGTAGAAACAGTTGTGAAGGTTATATATTCTCTGTAGAAACAGTTGTGAAGGTTATATATTCACTGTAGAAACAGTTGTGAAGGTTACATATTCTCTGTAGAAACAGTTGTGAAGGTTATATATTCTCTGTAGAAACAGTTGTGAAGGTTAGATATTCTCTGTAAAAACAGTTGTGAAGGTTAGATATTCTCTGTAGAAACAGTTGTGAAGGTTAGATATTCTCTGTAGAAACAGTTGTGAAGGTTATATATTCTCTGTAGAAACAGTTGTGAAGGTTATATATTCTCTGTAGAAACAGTTGTGAAGGTTACATATTCTCTGTAGAAACAGTTGTGAAGGTTATATATTCACTGTAGAAACAGTTGTGAAGGTTATATATTCACTGTAGAAACAGTTGTGAAGGTTATATATTCTCTGTAGAAACAGTTGTGAAAGTTATATATTCTCTGTAGAAACAGTTGTGAAGGTTATATATTCTCTGTAGAAACAGTTGTGAAGGTTATATATTCTCTGTGGAAACAGTTGTGAAGGTTATATATTCTCTGTAGAAACAGTTGTGAAGGTTACATATTCTCTGTAGAAACAGTTGTGAAGGTTATATATTCACTGTAGAAACAGTTGTGAAGGTTATATATTCACTGTAGAAACAGTTGTGAAGGTTATATATTCTCTGTAGAAACAGTTGTGAAAGTTATATATTCTCTGTAGAAACAGTTGTGAAGGTTATATATTCTCTGTAGAAACAGTTGTGAAGGTTATATATTCTCTGTGGAAACAGTTGTGAAAGTTATATATTCTCTGTAGAAACAGTTGTGAAAGTTATATATTCACTGTAGAAACAGTTGTGAAGGTTATATATTCTCTGTAGAAACAGTTGTGAAAGTTATATATTCACTGTAGAAACAGTTGTGAAGGTTATATATTCACTGTAGAAACAGTTGTGAAGGTTATATATTCACTGTAGAAACAGTTGTGAAGGTTATATATTCTCTGTAGAAACAGTTGTGAAGGTTACATATTCTCTGTAGAAACAGTTGTGAAGGTTATATATTCACTGTAGAAACAGTCGCGAAGGTTATATATTCTCTGTAGAAACAGTTGTGAAGGTTATATATTCACTGTACAAAAAAGTAGACACAGTGTATGGATAACAACAATTGTAAAGGTGCAATTTCGGTATAGATTCTTCTACCGTTTTCAAGCAAGGCCATTAATTGTGTCTACTTTGTCATCCGTCAACTTCTAAGTAATGCCTATCAAACAATTCTGGGACATAATATATGCTCTGCAAAAACAGTTGTGATCCTTTATGTTCCTTTATGACAACTAATTGTAGATGATACAGTATTACCCCAACTCACACTGACAGTCTTCCTTGCTCGTCACGCCGAAGACCCGGGTTCGATTCCCGAAATGGGTACAATGTGTGAAGTCCATTTCTGGTGTCCCCCACTGTGATATTGCTGGAATATTGCTAAAATCGGCGTAAAACCATATTCACTCACTCTTCCTTGTCGGACATTCAAGTTATGGTAGGACACTGAACCATGTGACTGCCTCCCAGGAACCAATAGGAACACGTTATGATTCAGAAACACTTTACCAAAAACTAGATAGAATTGCCATAGAAACAGACCATTGTGTGAATGCTATTGACATGAAATATCAGAGTCAATGCTGCCTCTGAACATCAAAGGGCATATATCAAACTTTGGAAAGGAAGCTTGAACGAGATTTGGGGGTTTTGAATTAATGCTGTGGCCCCACGAGGCCCTGGAGATGAGTTCCTGGTGAATGGTCCAGTCATGGGAAGAACGAGACAAGACCCATCGCTGTTCCTACAAAGATGGAGGTCAGAGGTGGGATAGACATCACCCAGTTTCCAGCACTGAACACACTTCGGGAGTAGTAATCGAAGCTGGCCATCACCAGATGTAATTATGTAAATGTTTGCGTCTCTGCAATTACATAAATATGCCGGTTTGCTCCATCTCATCAGAAAGCGTATTTGAACGTTTCCTCCCACATTTAAATTCAAATCGAGAACTGGATCCCAAAATAACTGCAGCTAATAGAAAATCCATTTGATTATCCTTGATTCATATACAATATGTGATTATGAAAGTATGATTTACTGAGTCATGAAAATTCATAGTTCCATCCAGGGCTGCGTGTGCTTCAGGATCAGTTCACACACGTACAGTACACCGCCACTGCTGATCTCCCTGCCAGGGATGACACCTGATCCTTGTGTCTCTTCAAATACATGATTTCAGAAGTTTGGACTATTCTTCTGCAAATAGCGTAACAGATTAGAATAAGTTTTCGATATGATCAATAACAGTGATCACCTAC